CTCTGCCGAGTCTGCGGTAAGGCCAGGGGTTCAAAAAGGCCTCCAGCCCCAGTGTATAAAGGTAAACTACCAATAGACTGGTACCGAAGACCCTTTTAAACCCCGAACCTTACCGCAGACTCGGCAGAGTCAAGCTCAGGCTTGACCAGCTGTCAACTGCTCACCATATATGCCTTCATACCCCTAAGAGAAATAAACTTATCCAGCTTCTTTAATGTTGACACATCATTATGAACCCTTACTCCGTCGGGTCAGGAATAGGCACAGCTTGCCCCCGCGTGAAAGAAACGCCATCAAGGTAAAAGTCAGGGCTGAGGCCTTGGTTCTGCGTGATCTTGACGCAAAGATCTGTCGAATCAATGCTTGGGCCGGTATATGAGAAGGTGTAGGTAAAGGTTTTGTAAACATTATTGCCGACGATGCCATCTTCACCAGGGTTGAACACACCGTCAATGTACAGTTCAGCAGTATTAACGTTGTCATCGCAGTTGAGTATGTTTGAGCCATACTCTTTGACGCAGTTCTGGCTGACCTGCGCTTTGAAAGTGTACTCAAAGCCCGCCTCGACTGCGACGCGCTGGCAGACGCTGGCAGAATTGTCAAGGTTTCCAGGCAATTGCCTATAGAATATTAGCACGAATCAGTTAGTATTTCCAGGTTCTAGTAATACGCACAGACACTGGCTACCCTCGGCGCAGAAGAACCGGTTAGTGTAGACTGACGGAGTGGTTCCTTCTACCACCCAAGGATCGACGGTAGAGTCTTCGAAACCACCATTCTCAACGAGGTTGGTGATCACAGGAGGGGCAGCTGTAGTCGTAGTGGCTTCGATTGTTGTGCTCGTGGCGTCGTCGACGGTCGTAGAGGTCTCGGTCTCTTGGGAAGTGACTGCGGTCGTAGTCGCGACAATGGTGGTAAAAGAGCTGATACCATCGGTTGTAGTGGCAGAAGTTCCAGAACTGGTCTCAGACTCAACACTGGTTTGAGACTCAGTGGCACTCGAAGTCTCTCGAGAGGTTTCGCCAGAAGTAGTTGTCTCCAGCTGTGTAGTAGTGGCAGAGTCGGCTGTAGAGGATTCTACGGTAACAGATGACTCAATGCTCGACGCGGACTCAGTGGCGCTCAGGGTTTCTTGAGAAGTAGTCGTTGGGGTGGCGCCTCCAGCAGCTGTAGAGCCAGTTTCGCTGCTGAGCGACGATGTTGTTGTTGGCCGAGGATGGGGGGCGCAGGCCTAAATCTGTAAGCTTCCCTTATGGCGTTAGGGGGCGTTTTAGAGCACCTACGCGAGCGGCGCAGAGGCTCGCGCCCATGATTAGGGTACCAAAGGTAGCAGTAACACGCATCGTGAAGAGACTTAAAGAGCGACTGAAGTTAAAAACGAGTGACTGAAATGTGATAGGTAGAGACAGAGAAATTAAAAGAAACAGAAGAGCGAAATGTTTTCTTATCATCGCGTTGGGCTTCTTCGAAAGCTGAATGACAGCTGGAACTATTGGCTTTAGGGCGCGCTACTTAAACAGATGTAGCTAGCAGATTCAATAGTCTCGCTTGACACCCCCGGTTTTTTTCAGGGGTAACGCAGGTCAAGGCAGCTCCTAACTTTAGACATCAATTGTTCTTCCGGGTAGGTACAGAATAAATTGAGGTTAAAGATGATCTTATCTCCATCATCAGCATGAACCTACGTATTCCTGTTGTTATTCTGTTACCAGTTACATATCAGCTTTGAGCTCAGTCTAGTTATCATCGGAGCCGCTGATGGACATTGCGCTTTTGCTATGGGAGGATCCAGTTTGTAAAGTAAAGGTGTATCAATTGACCTCTGAAGTAATTGCTTAGGGACTGCTCTTTGTCCCTCCGTCGAGAGCAATGCCAATGAGTTTTCTGTACTGAGTAGCCTAGATTCATTTCACTTGGCTTCATATCAGTCAATCAGCCTATGTCGGGAGTTTAAGAGCTGGTCCCAGATGAAGTGAGACTTGTGGCTGATAGCTTAAATCTGGACAGAGAACGCTATTCTAACCAACTAGGCCTATAACGGTCAAGACGGTACGACATTAGAAGACAATTTCCCCGCCTTTTTCCTACTATGACGCCAACTCTACTGATCTCATCTCAGTCTTCTTACTTTGCCATTTATTTCCTCCTCTTGTTAGTATTAACTCCACGTTTGTCATGGCCAACAGTGACACCATCGCCTACAATGTCGCCGTCTTCATCAGCACCTTGTTCCTTCTCGAATTTGGTGCCGATAAGTTTGTCGACCATACCGCCGTCGTCGCCCGTCGGACGGGAATTCCTGATACAGTGATTGCCCTGCTCACTGCTGGTGCAGAGTGGGAAGAGGTACCGCTTGAACCCACTAGCTCACCTCTATGTTCCTAGGTTAAACTCATCACAGCTCGTTGTCGTTGTTGCTTCACTAGCGCAAGGTCGACCCTCGCTAGCCGTTGGCAATATCATCGGCTCAGCCATCTCGAATATCCTTGGCGCCTTTTCACTCGGACTTTTGTTCCGTCCCATGGGCTCACACGTTGAGTTTGACAGGAGCTCTAGGATATACTCGCTGTGTTTACTAGTTATCACTACCTTTGCCGCGCCAATTATTTACTTCTCCCAGAGGATCGTCTGGTTGGTATGTGGTTCTGTCTTGATTGTGCTCTTCGCCGTGTACCTGTTCTCCATAGGCTGGGCTATCAGTCGAGGAAGTCTCACCGGCCCAGAAGGTTCAGATGACGATAGTAGCGATGATGAAAGCGATGCATCGTCGATAATCGGTGGCGTCTGTTAGGAGTCCCCTTCTGCCGAGCCGTGAGGAACATGAGCCTGAGGATGGCGACCGGCACCAGCGAGTCGATGGCAACCGTTCTGCGGCCGCATCGACAAATGTGTCGAGCCATCGAAGGAGACATGGCCTCGGCTACCATGTCGGGTTTCTGGTCCTTGGCTTCTCAGCCATCTGCCTGTCGGGCTATGTTCTCTCTCACGCCGCCATCAACGTCATAGACGCCATTGGCATCTCCGAAGTTCTGTTCGGTATCGTCATTCTTGCCATTGCCACCACCCTGCCTGAGAAATTCGTGGCTGTCCTGAGTGGGAACCGGGGCCACGTAGGGATTCTGGTGGCCAATACTGTCGGGAGTAACGTCTTCCTCCTGTCGCTCTGCTTGGGAATTGTTATGGTCGATACCTCCGGGAACATTGATGGGAGTAACGTTAAAGCCCAAGAGTTATGTGTTCTCTGGGGCTCTACGCTAGCGCTCACAATAACCGTTTGGTATGGCGAACGGTTTGATCGTTGGATTGGAGGAACCATGTTATTTGGTTACATTGTGTTTATAGTCCTGGAGCTTACAACCATTCATCGTGGGGCAGACTCTCTATAGCTATTATAGTAAATGGAAAGGAATGCTAAGAAAGTCAGGATTGTCGTAGGATCAGCCCACTAACTGGTTATCAAGTTTGTCTGAATATATATATCAGCGATGCCTCGGGAGCGAGTATAGCGAGAGTCTAGACTGTCGTGCGCTCCGTTTTCGGGCTTTGGTGTGAACCCGGTTCCCAGATAGCAGTATCATGGTATACAGGCGATTGCACTTAACAAATAAGAGAGGCATATAAGTGATATAAGAGAATTACACAGATGAATTGAGATGAATTACTGGATTTAAGGCTGGGGATTGGAATGTTGTTTTAGTAATTTTTTTAAAAAAAACGTCCTATTGAGCTATAGAGACCTTTAGTCCTTTGACTCTATAGCGTTATAAACCTACAAATAGAAGAGTATTGAAACTATTAGTTTTTGTCATCTTTGGGTTGGATTTAAGACTAGAACCCGGGAACAAAGCTGGTAAGGCGGAATGGAACGCCAACAATCAACGTGCGTTGTCTGAAAATGAATCCGCCTCGGGCGCCTTGTTTGCCTCATGAGGGGCAACAGCAACAGCCCCGCACCAATAAGGCCATGGCGAACCAAGCTGACAACCAGTAAGATGTTGCTATATAAGGGGGCAGTCCGCCAGGAACACTGGGCTGAAATTGTTCCTCGCCGGACATCTAGTAAAAGACGATCGAGTACTCGAACCACCGACCCAATCCTTCACTTTATCAAGCAAGGCTATCAGAATCACCAATAGCGAGTAAACTTTAGCCTGCAATTCCAATTCATATAGTTTCTGCCGCTGACTTGGCATCCAGTGTTCCCAGATCCTTGCGACTTCAGTGCAATAAACCTTTCCGCTGGCTTGCCTGATCCGGACCTGACGTCAAGACTTGAGCCAAACATCGATGAAAACAAGAACCACAATTCGCAAATCGATTCCTGGGGTTTCGGGACTGCGGGGAGACCCAAACAGACCACAATGAAAAATACCTACGCTTACGAGGCTCTCGGTAGTGGTAACGACGGAGCTTATTATACCTTGAGGGTCAGTTGCCAAAAATACCAAGGTCGAAGCACAACTTTTGCTTCGAACCTCACCGGTAGTACTACCCAAACTTGTCGATTATGCCCAAGCCTTGGAACTTCTTCTATCAAGGTTGAGGAAAGAGAAAATTCATCTACAGACGAAGCTCTGTGCAAGCATAAGAAGCGTCGTGCGCGGCAGGATCAATATTCGCAGTAACCAGCCAGTCAACCGATGCCATATTGGCAATTGTCCACGACTCAGAATGCCATGTACGAACTGCTATCGATGAAACCTGCTGCGGTTATAATCGGAGCGTTGCGACGCTTACCAACTACCATGCCTGTTGTTACAAATTGCAATTTGGCGAATTCGGCTGCTTGCCATGACCTAAAGAACATGCCGCAGCCGGATGCGTCCATGTTTTCTCTCCGATTGGGTGTTATGTGGCGACAGAGAGAAGAGTCTGGTTGGGAGCTTACGGACCACCGTGGATTATCTCAATGCCTGGTCGAGAAGCCACGAGATCAAATTGTTTCATGGTATATTCCACTCTTGATTAGCATCGGCATCCTCCACAGCGTTTTAGATCCCGCCACAAAACACCGACCTAAGCGATTGAGCATAGATGCGCATCACCAAAGAAGCAGTGGGTGGGGTAAAGAGCAATTACTATATCAACATAAAATTCGGTCCTATATGTAGATGGAAAAATTGCTTAGTCCGAAGCATCATAGCAGTGGACAGAAAGAGTCGGGTCCTGCCTCAAGTCATCAACATCCCTCGATGTAAAAATCCTCGACCCTTTACAATCCTTCTTGCTGCAGATCATCAGTTACTGGCACTCAGCAATATAACATCGCAGTCTTACGGATACAGGTAGCAGAATGTTTGGTGGCGAAGGTGAATACTCTCGACTTTGAAGGTGCTGTTCCAGGATTAGCTTCATCAAAGCGGCTGGTAAGGACTATCGGTACCTGGGTGTAACATTGTTGCAACCATAGCCATGGAGGTCCTTATACGACCCTTTCAAGTTTTTCTTACTATAAACTCTGGCCTAAAGATATCAGAGCTTGAGATCGAGGTAATTGGTATGTATTAAACCTACTGTGATAACATCTGTGGCCGCTATAACGACAGTAGCATAACCAAGGAGTGATAGTAAGTGCATGGCTACTATTTATAGTAGTATGTGAATTGCAACAAGACAAAAGGCGTACTGGTAGATAAAGTGATAGAAGAATAATATGCCTCAGCGCGAAAGAGACCTGCTAGTATACGGGAAGAAGAATGAAATATGCTGTGCTGGCGGAGTTTAAAGGTTATATAGACATTACGCTGGAGCGGAGATCATGCTTCTATGCAAGGTTGTCGGCGTATCGTTGCCGAGCTTTTACAACAGCTGAAGCATGGGTTCTGGCAATTATTGCCGACTGTCTAATCATATGTCTTGGATAATAAAGCAGTAGTACTGTGGCTTGTCTAACGTTTCAGCTAGCCTATTTTGAGGAAAAAAGACGCTTATCTTAGCGGAATATGCGGAATTCATTGACGTTACATTGGCTGCCAAACCTGGCCTTGGGCACATATTCCGCTCTATGCTGCCACTTCTGAGGCCTGGACCTGGAAAATCACCGAACTGTCAAGACTATTTCCAAGCTCACATGGCTTAACCTAGAATGTAAACCTACTCCTCCTCATATCTCACCCATGTCTTTGTCTTGCGAGTAATGCTCGGTCCACTAATCCACAACGGGACCGCAGCGATGAAGAGCACAAAGATGACCAGTGCAACAGTCAAGAACATGAAGTACTTATCCTTCATCCACCAATCCAAAGTGCTGTAAGATACACCAAAGCCGATAACATTCTTGATGACATTAACCACGACACCAATCTGAATGGCCTTCTTGGGGTAGCTCTCCGTGCAGTAAGAAATCATGACGTTGCAGCCTCCGGTGAGATTGGCATTGAGAATGGCCCAAAAGAGCCCAACCACAGCCCAGTGCCAGCCACGCTGGAAGCCAACACCAATAAGAGTCGTAGCGATTGGCGTTGCGATGGCGAATGGTAAGAGGATTGGCAATACTGACTCAGGCTTGAACTCTCCGTGGCGTCGCAAATGTCTCTCGGCAAGCCAATCCGCTCCCGCACCGCCGAAAGGCATACCGGCTAGCAGACCCAGGAGAGGAGCAACATTGTAGAGACCAACTTGGCCAGATGTCCAGAGCCAAGGGGGCTGAGAGAAGGTGATGGAGACAAGGATCGAAGTGGCAATGGTGCCAGCGATTGAGAAGCCAAAGAGCAGAACAGTGACGATTACAGCAGGAGATACGAGTATTTTGAATGGCTCCACGACAAGATAGAAGAAGTTTGGCGGTGGATGGTTGTGTTTGAGGGAGAGAAAGAATGATCGCCTGAACCAGAGTGCACCAGGTTTGCATGACTCGAACTTGGCCACTGACGGTGGGCGTGTCTCATATTGCTGCGAATTCCCAACCTCCTCCAATGGCTCCTTTGGCTCACCAACTTGCTCTTCATCGACCGATTCGATGGAAATATCGGAGAGTTCGGGGTCGCCGGGAACTCGAATATTGGTAAGAGGCTCGGGAAACATCAAGATCATGACGACAAGGTTGAGAGCACAGATGCCACCGAAGATGTAGTTCGGATATCTCCAGCTGCCCAGATTATCAACAGCGTAGCCGGTAATCAGAGGACCAAAGACGGCGCCGGCACCCAAGGCCCAGGTATATACGCTCATGGCTCTGGCGACGTACTCGCGTGGAAATAACAGCACCACGACGACTGGACCGAGAGCTTCTACGACGCCACCTCCCAGCCCTCCTATGACGCGAGCAGCGAGAAGAGATTCGTATGACTGCGCTCTGGCCTGCCAGAAGAAGCCGGCGGTGAATACTGCAAGACCGATGAGGATTGTATAGCGGCTACCGATGTATGCGACGGTGGGCAGTGCCCAGACATTCTAACAATCGGGATAATGTTCAGCGTCGATGGATCTTTAAGGTACAGGGTTAGGTCATAGTACTTACTCCGAGACCAATGCAAAGAGTGCCCCAGCTTGCGAGCTGAGAGATCTTTGTGCTGCTCACATGCATATCCTTCACCAGAGGAAGAAGCATAGGAGGGATGGAAGCACCGAGGACTTGACCCATCATGACGAAGAAGGATAGATTACCCATCATGATCAATCGCCACCATAGAGGCCATGTCTAAAATGTGTCAGTGTTGCATTGGGGATGTGAAAACGCAGAAGAACGTACCATCGGGCCATCCTTGCGGTGTAAAATACTTTCGGAGGAATGCGCCATGTCGTGCTCAGTTTTGCCCTTATAAACTGAGACTGAGATTGGATGCTGAATAAAGTTTCAGAGAAAAATACTCAGAATCTTTTAAATAGCGCAGGGTATTAATGGTAGATCCTGTGTAGTAACGTGCTGCCAGGTGATGGAAGTTGATGCAGCTTAATGCAAAAGTCGGAAGCTACTTAGACTTTTATCCACAGCCTGTTTTGACATGGAGAGCTAGCGATACAGGGAAATCCGGGGTAGTGGCCACGCTAATGCTTAAGCCACGAATCTCCATCCTAGCCTCGGAATTCTTATTTATATTCCGACCTGCGGATCCGGGGTATGACCTTGAAGTCTGCAGCAACAGATGTTGTGCACCCAGCTATCGGGATATCCGCCTGGAACCCCCTCCGGACTGGTAGACCCTGTTTTAAATTGTATTCAAGAAGGCGGTGCTTTTCACATGTTTGGACAATCGAAAAGGAGGTTTCTATTGGCTTCCTACTTTGGGTCGGAATAGCCGAGACACACCACGACCGTCAAGATGTTACATGTCAATTAAAATACACAACCCTTTCTTAACATTTAGAACATGTATCTTAGGATGTCTGCTGTAACGCGGCTTTCCCGAGATACATTTTGAAGGTACTGTGCTGCCAAGGTTGTTTCATAAGAGGACACATGCCCTGTCACCGGCTGAACCGGTGCTGTTGCTCCGATGGGGATAATTATTCTTCCATATCTTGAACACGGCGTATGCGGAAATTGCCTCCTTGTTTCCTATTTTACCACGACAGATTGTGAACAGATAATAGATAGAGCAAGGAGTAATTCATTTGACGCTATGCAAAGGTTGTAGACTGTCTTCCCTTTCTTGAACTGTAATATCGTGATGGTGCAGCCATCGCATTTACTCGCCACTGCAACAAGATACTTCGTTGAAGGTTAGGCACTTAGTAGGTTCCATATTATGCGACTTTGCATAAGCTTAATTGTTATTGAATGAAAATCTACTCTCTCTAAATATTGACACCCAGTTGAGGAGGAAAGAGTGCAAGTCTACTGCAAGATAAACTTGATACCAGCCAGGAGATTGCCAATGAACGTCTTTGTAGCACTCAGCGTCGGAAACATCCAAAAGACGTGAGGCAAACCTTCATAGGTGTCGAGCTTGACGTCGACCCCTTTGCTGCGAAGTTCATGCTCCAGAGCTACGTTGTCATCTCTCAGAGGGTCCGCGCCGCAAGCAACGAGGTAAGTTCGTGGAAACTTGTCCAGGTGCGATGAGAGGAGAGGAAACAGCCACTCATCATCGATATGTTTGTCGAGTCCAGTCGATGCTGCATCAAACGTCAGTAGCTGCTTCGTAATTGTAGTCCGTCTTATTACTTACCGTTGATCATCTTGGCTGTTTGCCCGTCAATGATTGGGACGTCTGTAGCATTCTCTTCCATGGATTTCATGAGGTGCTGGAGATGCTTTGGCACATTTGCTGGATGGACTGTTCCTCCCGCCATGTTGATGACCCCTTTCAGCTGTCCCTCTCGCCCAAGTTCAATGAGCCTATGGGCTGTGGCAAGAGAGAGTGTACCCCCGCATGAGCTGCCCAGCATGAAAACACGCTTCTGGTCTCCACCTAGCCTGGAGGCGTTTGCATAGGTCTTCAGGCCGTCAGCCAGACAGACTTTTAAAAGCCGTGAAGCAAAAGCCACTTACCCATGAGAATCCGTCAAAGGCGTCCTGAAACACTACCTTGATATCGACTGACGGCGTAAGACGATACTCGACGGATACGATGATGCAAGGATACATCGATGCAATCAGTCTGCACAGTCCGTCCTCCATATCAATGGAGCCATCAGAAAAACCGCCTCCGTGACAGAAAACACCAACTGGCAGCGCTTCCTTAGAGTCTCTAGGCTTGTAAATACGGACAGTGACGTTCTCGTTGATCTTCTCGTCCGCTAAGCTACGTCAGCTGACTAAGAGGACCTGAATGTGCTGAATACTTACCAACCTCAAGCCCATCATCCCGGGGAGGAGGCAGATGAGCTCTGATGTACTTTCCAATGGCCTCCCCACCAGCTCGATAATTCTCCATCGTCCCGCCGAGTACAAGGCGGCCACCGAGCTCTTTCTCCACCTGTGACGGGTTAGCTTCTTGAATGCTTCTTCATGGATCGGGTCTAACCTCTAGCCATTCTGAATCCAGGTAAGGCGCCATTATCGAATAGTATGAGATTTTCAAGGAGCTGAAGCTGATGGAGATAGTTGAGATCCAGTAAATGGGGTTTGTGCTGACAGACAAAGTGAGTCGAGTGGATGGCCGTTTATGGTTCTTGCGACTCCTCCGAACTATCGCTACAGTGCCTAACTCCATCCAGGGTTTGCGTAAGAATTACTCTGTGCTTCCACGGAAGAAGTTCCGACTTTGCTTGTGAGGGCCGTGACATGCCCCTTTGCGCACCTTACGCTGCAACGCATCCACTCGTAAAGATCGACACATCTTCGCGTCTTCCGGCGGATAATCCGCAAGGCAGACCTAACAAGATGTTGACACTGGAAATGCATCGCTCCGAGTTCAAGAGTCAGACGCTCGGCTCGACCTCGGTTTGGCCGAGGCAAAAAAGGGGTACTTGTCGGAAGTTCCGAGGTATGGGAATAGGGCTTGACGATCCGAACAATCACACGATAGAATTTCATGATTACCAATGAGATCTAAGAATAAAATCGACATCCTTGTATCTAGATGCTCCTATTGCAGTCCCAGCAGTTTACCAACTACAGACACCCACGAAGCTCACGAACTCACAACTCAACATGAACAAATGTATTTTTGTCGATGATTCCTGTGATCTTTCGATCCGCGACATACCTGAAGCATACCATCCCAAAGATGGCCAAGCTCTAGTCAAAGTCGAGTACTCAGGCATCAACCCAGCCGATCTGAACCATCCGAAGGATCTGGGCTGGAAGAACAACGTCTGCGGCTATGAAATCTGCGGCACCGTTATAGAAACAGGAAGGACTAGTCGCTACGCAGTCGGAGATGCCGTCTTTGGCTCCAACCATCCCGGACGCTCAAAGCCAGGATATCATGGGGGTCATCAGGACTTTATGATAATAGAGTCAAACCTGATGTCGGTCAAATTGCCTGCTCAACTCCCTCGACCAGACGCCGCTGCTCTTAGTATCATGGTACGCTCGGCTGCAGATGCGTTGTTGAATCACTTCGAGATCCCTTTCCCTACTATAGGCGTTTACGGGCCACCTCCTACTGGCGCCTTGCTGGTTTGGGGTGGTGCAAGTAGCGTAGGCTGCGCAGCAATACAGCTTGCAAAGGCTATGGGAGTGAAATGGATATTCACGACTGCTTCGCCTACCAACCACGAGGCGCTTCTTGAGCTCGGCGCAACAAAGTGTTTCAACTATCGAGATTCAAATATCGTTGATGCAGTCAGAGCTACATGTGACGAGATCGGCGTCACCATACGATATGTCCTAGACACTGTGTGCAAGACAGGCAGTCCTGGTACCATTGAGCAATGCGAGGCGATTGCCGCCGGACCAGATGTCACATCCGTTAGTACCCTGCCCCAGTTCAGTAAGCCGCCACGGTGGAGAATGATCTTTGCTTCGAGAGAAACCGACAACCCTGTCCCGTTCGAGTTTCCTGGGGGCAATAAAGCAAATCCTGTATGGGAGGCTCGGCTGGAGAGGACAGTTGTTTGGGCTGCTAAGAACTACGGGTCGCAATTTCGGATCCCCAATATTAAGATCGTGGAAGGGGCTGAGAAGGGAATGCAGGCTATCAAGGATGTGAACGAAGGAAAGGTCAGCTTGACCAAGGTTGTCATCAAGCATCCGCTTTAGGACGTATTAGTGTACATAGATTTCACATATAGCTATTATTAGCAGGCCAATTTCCGTTCATCCCGAACAGCCCAAAAATGCTATCACCCAAAGTCTGCAGATCGCCTAGTCATCGTTTAGTTCACCTCTATCACAGTCTAGGACAATATCAACTTACCTGCTCCAACACACTGTGGATCCCCCAAAAGCTGCCCCATATCAATATCTCCAAAGTCTTGCAGCAGTGGCGTGTTACTACTTTTAGGCATGTGAAGCCGCTCCCCAATCCTAATGAGTTGCTCAAAAGTAAAGGACAAATTCCCGCATGCAAAATTTCGACACTTGGATACCTGGAGTATTCTAATCGCTTCTTGAAATGCGTCCCTACTCTCTGGTCCGTAAGTTTCTGGGTCTTGAGAGACGATAAGCAGGATTATAGCCAGTGACGACACGGTAAAGTATTCATATGAGGTCCGAAGACACTTTAACGGGACTGCCTTATTGATAACGCCGGAGCATAGAAAAATGGTTGCTTTGGCGCACTGGATACACAGTGCTGCGGCTGCGGTCTTGTCGCGGTCGCCTTTGTACGAGTGAAGAAGGGGTTTGCGTAGTAGTATCCGAGAATGACAGATGCGTATCTCTAGAAAGGTTTCTAGGTCATTCATAAGGACCTCGTTCTGAAGAGGATTCCAAGGGTTACTGGGTAAAGGTGTAGATCGGGCGGCTGCCGTGAGGTCCCGGAATTGGTCGCGTAGCCGTTGTAACTTATAATCGAGGTACTCCTTTTGCTGCCGACTCTCTGCAACGGTCTTGGTAGAAGCCTTCGTCAATCCTAATATCTCCGCGTTGAGACGAGTGTATTCCATGGTCACGACTAGGAACGGAGACGAAGTGCCCTTGCTATGAGTCAGAAGGTGTAAGGCTGCGGGTTCGACTGTGACTTACAAGATCAAAGCACCTCTCATCTATGTCTTCATCCTTGGTGGTATGAGGAAGGTCGGTAGCAAAAGAAAACGTCCGGTCCAGTACATATACACAGCAGAATAACTCTCGCGGCGAAAACGAGCCAGGCGTGTCGACAGTCTTCTGAGCCTCTTCTGCCGCGTGATGAAAGCCAAGCTCAAAACATATTCTAGATGCCAGGCTGATAAGTCTCCACGCTTTTACATGTTCCGACTTATGGAAGCAATACAAGCCCTAGAGGTTGCCATCTGTTAGCTGATAAAATGTTCAGTGCGAGTATAGGTCATACCATCAAAGCAGCCATGGACACATCGTCAATATTTGGGCCTCTGCCCATCAAGGCCTTCTCCACTGACCAATCGACGTAGCGTTGAAGATGTCGTGCCAGAGGGCTTGTCTTATCATCTTCGATAAGGAGGGTGAGCCCCAATAGAGCTTTGAGAACATCTATCTTGGTCAGGGTGATCGAAGCAGGCTCTGATGTATGGCTCGCTGAACGCCCAAAGACGGCGTCCAAGACCACTTCTGCTGATTGAAGGTCGACACACGGGTAAATCGGATAAATGGTCTCGGCAAAGGTGATGAACAGGTGCCTAGCTCTGTCGTAACCCAGGTCCAGGATCGATTCCAAACAGTCGTCACTTGCGGATGCAAGGGTTTGTTCTAAAGTCAGACCTGGTTTGCTCGTTGAACCTTGGACGTCCTCCTCGACTTCGTCCACGATACCGTTAGCTTCAAGGCATGATCTCGCCAAGCTGAAGGTATCAACAAAACTTGAGCGGCGAGCCGCAGGTGATTTCTCAGTAGGTGCAGGACTTTGTAGCGAGGCGCCTAGACTCCTACTGGATTGCACAGGTTGGCGTGCTGCTTCATTCAAAGTCGTGATGCCGGAGGTTGCCGAGATGCGAGGCGTGATGCCGTCGTCTGTTGACGGTGAGTATTCCATCTCTCTAGAAATATCAATGAATTAGATCGCGTCCTCCTGGGCACTTGATGTGGAATCCTACAAGCTCATTTCTGTGGGTATGTTGCCACGACGTGGGTAGGAACACTCCACTCCACGCTTGGTACAGCGTTGACAGGGCCATTGGCCGTCACACTTAACCTTTCGAGACTTGCATACCATACTATACTCATTGTGTTAGCGACGAGCGTCCGAGACATCGAAGAGGGGGTTATAAAATACCAGGCTACGAGGGCGTACTCATTGCGCTTTCGCCGCCCGCCTCGGGTGATTCGTTGAGTGTCTGGTGCATTGTCTCTGTTGCCAATTGGTAGTGACATGACAGGGGCGAACTTTTAAAGTTTGTATGTTGATCAGAGTTAAGGCAGGTCGGGGGTTGCATTGAAGTTAAGAAGCGAGTTAGTAGGACATTCCCCGGATCACGTGGGCAGCCCCGCGCTCTAGCCTCGGGGCCCCATACGCACTCACGTTAGTCCAAGAGTCTCATAGTTGCTTCAGGAGGAACTAGGCTCGCTAGAGAGAAATTGACAGAATGATTCAAGCAAAATAAAACCCTATATTGGCTGCTGGGGCCATAGGAGGTCTTTTCATTTGTCATAGCGAACGGCTCTGTTGGAGGTGACTAGCTAAGCTCGATTTATAGCAGACAGATGATGAAATTATGTAGTCAAATCTCATTAATGTCTTTACAGCTCCCATCCGTTTGTTGCTTTCTCCCGCATCACCTCCATCGCTCCATCCATCAGTCTACATGCTTCCTTCCATGCAGGCCTCAAGCTTACTCTATTCCACCAACTTTGCAGATGCGGCAACTCAGCAAAGAATGCTTCAGCTCCCTTCAAATCAATCAGCTGTGACACCCAAGGCATGGACCAGATGTCGACCAGCGTAAATTCTGCGCCACCGAGATAACTACGGCCAGACAAAATACCGTCCATGACCTTCAGCGCGCCATGTAACTCATTCCAAATATCCTCCAATGTCTTCTTGTCGACTCTGGGAATGCCTAGTATCCTTTCAACAGCGACGGTTAGCGACGCGATAAATGATGGACAATGCGAAATCAGATTGACTTACGGTTTGATGATGATGTCTCCGCAGTATCTCCATGCTGTAGTGGAGAAATAGCAAACCTCCATCGAGGCAGCCTCTTCAAACGAAGCCAAAGCGTCTACGTCAGAAATTTCTGGCACTAGCGGATTTCCGCGGTCAGAATACGCGGCAGCGATATAACGGGCAATCGCGCGGCTTTCTATATAACCTTGTCAGGTGATATAAACTTTGAAGGGCAGATGAGGTTCGTACCACAGATTCGAAGACTTCTCTCGCCTCGGTCATTTAGGAGGTCTAAGATTGGCACTTTTCCAAAAGGGTGCAATTTTCGGTGTTCAGGAGTCTTAAAGGAGATTAGCACAACGCAAAAGCGTCAGGACAGTGGAATTAGTAGGTCAACGCACCCTGGTCACAAATTTGAGAATGTCAATATGTCTGTATTCCCAGGTAAGGCCTTTTTCCAGCAATGCGTGGACGGTGGAGATTGTATATGGGGAGACGTAATCGCCGTACAGCACGAACTTGGTTGACCTGCGTCCATTGAGTTAGGGGTTTCACTAGGAAGAAAAAGATTCGATGAGAACCTACATTCTGATGAGGATTCTTCAGGAATTTCTTATCAAGCACGGAAGAGAAATCGCATGAAACCTCATAATCACAAACGCTACTAACTTGACATTCTTCTACATTTCATAATCTCATCATGATCGCGATCCGAAAAACAAAGCTCCGAGGTTGAAGTCTGGGGTAGGCAATTGTGGGGTGCAGGACTCGGTAGTTCCGAGCAAGACCAGTCCGTATGTGGCTAGCCTCCGAGCTCCTTGAACTTCCGCTTACGCGTTTTGTTTTGGGCCAGGTCCATCTTCTGTCTCTGCTCGGTTCTGAATCTTATTCTGCTTAAGACTTTGGTATCGGAAATCTGACCACAATTTCCGGTGAGTCAATACCGAGTTTGTAAACAGACTGAAGCTGTTATGTTAGAGTTCCATTGCCCGGATAAGCCGTTCTTCAGCTCGTGCAGGATGGAAGTTCCGAGCTTTTCTCAACTGCCGACTACAATGGAGACCATGGAATGCATGACCTGGGAGTTTAGTAAACGTTTTGCTCGCATAGAGTTCGGAGAAGATAGGTATCTATTCGTATAATACAGCTTCCAAAACCATCTAGTTAATTGAAGCAAAAAACAACATCTTAAAGCGCTTTAGAACCGATACTGATTATTATTATCTTTGCTAACAATGAGCCCTGATATCCCTGACTCGCAAGACTTGGCCAACAGGCTGACTCAGGCCAAAGCATGGAGTCAGTTCTATCAGAATTACAATCCAGACTATAAAATCTCGGATAAGACTTTTGGTGATCCATGTCAGTCCAGGCCGTTCTATTAGCTTTATACTGTTCATGCTAACATATTTCTGGCAGCTAATCGTAAGATCAGGGTTATCAGCATAGGTGCTGGTCTCTTCAGCATCAATCTCGCGTACTGGATCTCAGTCAAATGCGAAAACTTCGAACTCACCGTATTCGAAAAGAGCAGTGAACTCGGAGGTGTCTGGAACCATAACAGATATCCTGGAGTTGCCTGCGACGTCCCATCTCACGTGTATCAATACAGTTTTGCACCAAACCCAGATTGGCCCAGGTTTCTGAGCCCGTAAGTCGGAAAGCCCCTGCACGCTGCAGAATACTGACTGAGTAAAGAGGTCGAGACATCCAGAAGTACCTTCAGAAATGCGCCACCACGTTTGACCTTGACAAGTATATCAAGTTTCATACCAGAGTTCTGAAGGCTGAGTGGCATGAGGAGGGATTCTGGCGTGTGTTTGTGCGGGAAGAGCTACCAAATGGCGACTTTCGAGAGTATTACCAAGATGCAGAGATTCTGGTGAATAACTCTGGAAGTCAACATGTCTATCAGTGGCCCAATGTGGAGGGTCTCGATAAGTTCAAGGGAACAGTGAGTCTGCAGAATCCATGTACTGATTGTTTGTGCTTACGGATCTTTTAGTTGCTTCACACTGCTGGCTGGGATGAGCGATTTGACGAAGATGCGTGGAAGAACAAGACCGTTGCTGTGATTGGCAGCGGTGCGTCGGCAGTACAGGTAGTACCCAGAATGCAGGCAAGTCTCTACTCTCGTTTACCGCCGAGGCATTATTGACATCCGGTAGCCTCATGTTTCCAAGATGACTGTGTTCTCACGCACTCCAATCTGGTTCGCACCTGGACTCGCAGGTGACGAGTTTAGCCCAGAATGTACGTCCAAGCTGTCTTCCATGATCGAGTCCTGAATACTGACTGTACTCAAAGACTCGCCAGAAGATCGAGAGAGCTTCAAGAAAGATCCTTCCAAGCTTCAGGCGCATGGGAAGAGCATCGAGAGGCGTCTGAATGGACTCTTTCCAAATTTCTACAGCGGGACTGATCACCAGAGGAATGCTATCAAATTCTTTTACGACCAAATGAAGATTAAGATCAAGGATCCGAGGCTTCTTCAAGGTGAGTTCAGGATAATATTGGATTAGGCTACTTGCTGATGCGTTTACAGGCTTTACTCCTGAATTTGTTCCCGGATGCCGTCGCATTACTCCAGGTGACCCTTTCATCTACGCAGTCCAAGAGCCAAACGTCGAGGTTGTTTTCAAGGGCGTTGCGAGACTCACGGAGGACGGTGTTGTAGATACAGATGGTGTTGAGCGAAAGGTTGACGCTGTAGTTTGTGCAACTGGTAGGTCTATTCCGAGGAGATCCGACTATAGACATTCTGACCGAGGCTAGGTTTCAATGTCGACCTCATCCCACGATTTAAAGTCATCGGACCAAATGGCATCTGTATATCCCAGTTCCTAGAACAAAACCCAGACAGTTACATGTCAGTCGCTCTGGCGCAGTTCCCGAATTACTTCCACGGCAGCACCGGCGCCTACTGGCCCTCTGCAAACGGATCTCTCATCGGACCCATGGACGCAGTGGCCAACTACGTAGTTCAGGTCATACAGAAGCTACAGATGGAGCACAACATCATCAGCGTGGTTCCAAAGCAAGAAGCGATGGATGACTTTGTCGAACATGCTCAGACATGGTTGAAAGGCTGTGCTTGGTCGGGGGACTGTCCAGCTTGGTACAAAACACAGTCCGGACCGTTAAAAGGACGAGTGAACTTGATCTGGCCCGGCATTACACTGCAGTTTGTGAGAGCCTTGAGTAAGGTCCGCTGGGAAGACTATGATATCAAGTATGCTGCTAGTGGGGAGAAGAGCGCAAACCGATTCTTGTATCTTGGCGATGGGCTTGTCAAGGAGACGTTTGATCCTGAGATGGATGACTCGCCGCATATTCACCTTGGGGCTATCGACCCGAGGTGGGCAAAGGCTGCTGGACTGTCATTTGTAGAGGGAATGAAGCCTTTGCCTTCTTAGCAACTTGATAGTTAGCAGTATGAGTGATAACGCTTGAATAGAATCACTATACATATCCGATTCAAGTAGCATCATCGACTTTTAGCTAAGCTTGAGGCATACTGAGCGTATCACTCGTACTCAGTATTCTACCTTTGAAGTTACGTACTAAACCTATTGAGTGACACACTTTAGAAACGATCTTGAAGTTTAATCGCAAAGGCTAGACACTGACCCGTAAGAAGCTTAGGTTCGGGGACGGGTTGCAGATCCATGCCGAGGAGGTTGGGAGGCATTGCTGACTTTTTACATAATCGCTATTGCCAGGAAAACAAGTGCTAGAGAATGTCACTGTCAAGACCCTAGCGACTGAAACAGTATTCGACGCCTTCCTCTTCCTAAATCGGATCGCGATTGTAAGTTGATCGGGGCGTCGTAGAAAAGACCAAGGGAACTATCACTGAAAGTGGTGGATGAAACTTGCACACGGGGACAATCCCGCGTTAGACTGTCACTTGGACTTAGACCGCTTGACGTTTTGCCCTCTATATTGCACGATGGCTGCCGTTTTACTGCAAACTTTAGAGATCGGTAGATTTGTGTCTCACCAACGTTCGGTGATAAGGATAGTTCGTCCATGACGATGCAGGCAGTTTTCGGATTACATAAACATTTTCTGGTGGTTGCGCTAATGCACGTCAGTTGCCACTATATCCACCTCCCGGAAGTAAGCACCTTAACCCCATTCACTATGAAACTTCCTGGAGGGCAGTTTGATGGCGACTATTTCCTGTAGCCGATAAAAAAACTATATAAAATCTGAACACTTGGCCTCAAGTCCATTTCTTTACTTTGCTATCTGTGCAAGAACTCACCCCAGATTTCCATCTGCCTGCATGTCTGTTCGTACTTTTTACCCTCAACCTCAGTCTCGTGCCTTTCGTCTCTCAGCAATGAAGTTCTACGACGCACAAGCTCCAAACCCCTTTGCCGTCCGCCTCTTCGTTCTCGAGCGCGGCGGCCTAGAGTTCGATGTCCAGACTATCGACATCATGAACCTAGAGAACAGACGGCTCGCATACCGCAGTGTGAACCCGCGAGGCGAAGTGCCAGCCCTGGATATCGACGGCTTCATCTTGACCGAGATCATCGCAATATGCGAATATCTCGATGAAGTCGCCAAGGGAGGTAAATCCCTGTTCGGCGACACGGCGCTCGAGCGTGCTGAGACCCGCATGTGGCTTCGGAGGATGGATCTCGAACTGGCTCAGCCTATTATTTCCTGGTATCGGAACGACCCTGATACCATTGACTTCTACAAGGGCAACAGGATCCCGATACCTGAGGCTCGCGTAGTCCAAAAGGTCACTATCAACCAGTTCCTGAATCTCCTCGACGATCAACTTGAGGGCAAGGAATACCTATGTGGTTCACGCTTCTCAGCTGCCGACATCCACTTTTATGGGCTACTCAAGATGATGGTTATGCAAGTCGCTCAGTGGGTTCTTAGTCCTGGGCGTAAGAACGTTGCTGCGTACTTTGACAGGATGGATGCTCGAAAAGCCAGTCAGCAGGCTCTTCAGCCTTTTGGATCAAAGGTCTCAGTATAAGTTGGGATATATATCTCGCTTCCGTCTCTTGGCCAACCATGACATTTAGTTTACATTGTCTTCAATACTTAGTTAGCCCTTGGTCCCTCTATACAACACTTTTACAAAGGCTAAATTAATTCGGGTTTTGGGAGTAGGCCCTGGTCCCCCGCAAGCGTTAGTGCTTACTGGGCGGTGCTGTGTAACCGCATCGTGCGTTTTTATACCAATCACAGCTTGCCATATCATAGTACAGGTTGAAAATACATTCTCAGATCAACAATTCTGTCTTACCCCCGCCATCATCATCTGGGAAATTCTTGTTTCTTCACGACTCCCATCAATCACATCTACTTCTTGTCTCAGATTTCTGAATCGGATCAGTACCGTCTCCAATAAAAGTTTCCAAGATTTCATCCCAGCTCCAATACTCGGCGAATCTCGAGCTATGGCAAACGCTCTCACTCTGTCGTCGGGAGCTGTGGCGGGCGGCTCCTTCGAGCAGCAAGGCTCTATTGACTGGGTTCAAATAGCGAAGATGTCGGTTACTTTGCCGATCTCTATTCTCGCACGCGTCACAGCTGCAGACGTTTCCCCTCTCACCATCGTCGTGGGGCAGGAAATGTCATCTCTCTTTCGACTGTCTGCCACTGGACATGAACGTCTTATTAAAGCCCTTGGGGAGCTGAAGAGTTTCTCCGCCATTGGAGATGTCATCTGGTTCGGCTTCGGGATAAAGCATATAGTGCGAGTCCTGGCGGAGACCGGCAAAGGGCTGACATGCTTAACGCTATGTGCATGTCTTTCTGAAATCCATACCCCAAAGGCCTGCGCCGAAATCTTGATCAGACTGGCTGATATCTGCGACGCCCCTGATGATCTACGACCCTCTGCGAGTCAATGGATCAATTTGGTAGAAGTCTGTTCTGGAACTCTCAGGTCTACAACCTTTTCCTGCGTCGCGGAGCAGTTCATGTCATTCCATCGTCCTCACGTGAGGGATGATTATACCGATGAGGCTGGAGACGTTGCCAAAGCACTGCTCGCTGTCGCCCGTGTTTCTTCGGGTGTCCTTAGCTCGGTGACATTGACAGGTGGTCGCTCCTGCGGATGGATAGCTGCCATTGGATTCTATTTTCTTGGTCTTGAGGTCGAAATTCGAAATGCCGACAACGAGTCTGTTTACAAGTCCACGGCTGATGACGATGCGATACGTCTCTTGGTTATCTACGGGACAGGGCGGCCTTCCAGCAAAGTTCAGATCAGCAGCACCGCCTACTTCATCAGTTCTGTTGACAGAGTCATGTCAAGCTATGAGCAGCGGTTTGATTCTATTATCTTTGGGGCCGTTCCATGGGATAGCTGCCTTTTCAGGACTTTTGGGGGCCGTTTCAATAAGCTTATGGATGCCAGGCAAGATTTTGGACGTCTGATATGCGCTGCTGCACGCGTCTTTGAAGCCTTGACCAACTCGGACACAGGAAGCATATTCGATTCCGATGACTGCATCAGTTGGTTTGGCTTCCAACAAGGCCAGTACGGGCATGGCTTTTCTGACTCCGCAAGCTCATTGTTCCCTGAACTCTTACCGCTGGGTCCATACATTGATGTTGAAACTGACATGTCTATTGACGATGCCGTTCTGGCATACAATCAAGCCGCGAAGCAGTTAGCAAGCACTTGCAACTGTCATGATTGTTCCAAGGACCACTCGAGATCCAGGAGGCGTTATTGCCTTCCTTTCCTGGCCGAGGCTATTATCTTCCTTGTCTGGAATGTTTCTGCTCTCCAGCTCGATGCCGATCTCAAGCCCTATCGCTCTGGCCTAAGATTTATCTACCAACTGCACTCTGGCAGGGCCATGACGGACGCTAGTTTCGGACAAAGGTATGGAGCTGGTGGTCATCATGTAGCTTACTGGGGGGATATTGTTCACCTCGTGCGGCTCCTCGACCTCGCTTCAGTATATCATACTGCTCAATTTCTGTTTACAAACCACTTATACCCACTCCAAACACACAAATCATTTACTGCCGCTTGTGTTGGAGGGATATGTTTCTATTTTGACATATTGCGAAATGTATCAGATCGGCCGGAAGAGGCGATGAAACTACATGTTGTACCTGGTGTCATTCAGACAAATACTGGGCGACAGTACCCGTGTATCGCAGATAAGACTGGCACAAGATCTCGCGGTCTCTTAGGATTCGACTGGAGAGACAACAGTTCTTACCCCAGAAAGGGTACCACCCAATACCGGACCGATTACCAAGCTAGTGTGATACAGACCTTGGGCGGTAATACCTCAATCCCTATACTTGGTATAGACACCGGAAGCTCTGATCTTAAAGTTGAACTATTGATCGAAGAGTCTAGCGGTGGCTTGCTTATTGACTTTCATCTATGCGGCTCTGCGGGAACTTGCCGTGTTGGGGCATATAGCATGCTCAAAGAGATCATCCAGAACTCAGGACTAGTCCACTGCACTCATCGCGATTGCGCCAGGATGGATCAGATCAGCTGCGACATATCTGTTATAGACGGAGAAGGCACTGTAACTCAGAATCTCGAGTCGAGAATCTACCTACGAAGGCTCGCTGGTAATCCTTTGGCGAGATGCGTTGGTCTTTTGGTTGACAGAGAATGGAATGAGGCGCCCATATTGCGCCAGAGAGAGTGTATACCATGCTGTATCAAGACTGCTGCTAGTCTACGATATGATGGCCAGAGGTCTGCATCCTATGTTATTCTTTGATGTGGCTCTTGGTTTAAATAGGTTTGGCGTGGGGGTTCGCCGGGTTGCGAGGAGGCATTAGTCATCCGCATCCATATCTATGAATTTACTCCAGGAATACTGCGTCACCAGTGGAGCAGTCGCGTGGTTGACGGTCCGATTTACGGTGTTCAAGCGTAATTATTCCGATTGACGCCGGATATTTCGGACTTGTGATGTAAATAGTCTTTCCGCAAGCCGAGTCACTAAATCCATGGACAGCATATACTCTCTTCCTCCCAAGTATTTCTTTAATTCACCGGCAATCAGCATTACCGCAAGCGACAAGTTCTTAAGAATTTACAATTGATCATACATTTAACAATGCCTTCGAAGCAGCCAGATATCACCCTCTACTTCCTCAGTGCAAGCCGAGCGATCCGAATCGCCTGGCTCTTGGAGGAGCTGAATATTCCGTACAAATTAGTCACCTCGCCAAGAGCAGCCAACGGACTAGCGCCGCCAGAGTTCAAAGCCAAGATCCCAACTCGCCTTGGAACTACTCCTGTTATTCAGGATGGTGATCTGGTAATCCAGGAAAGTGGTGCTATCTTGGAGTGAGTAACTTTGAAGCCTGTTAATTGATTGTATGTTAATTGCTATAGGTATCTCATTGAGTCGTATGACTCTGCGTCACGGCTGTTGCCTCAGGAAGCACATGCTAGAGCAAAGGTTCGGGAATGGATTCAAGCTTCTGAGGGTACTTTCATGATGAATGCTGTTCCGGTCAGTTTTTCTTGCCAATACAATGCAATAGCGTTACACTATTTTTGAGATCCGTTAACGCCAGTAGATTATCATTACCCGCATGGGAATGCCAAAAGAGGCTGCACAATATGCTTCAGGGCTGGAGGCTGCGATTGCGCCTAGGGTGCACGAGGCAATGCAGTGGTTGGAAGCGGAACTTGAATCAGGACCTAGTAAGGGTCAATTCATCGTTGGGGCGGATCTTACCGCTGCAGATATCATGATGGGCTTTAGCATCGAGTGCATTTTCGCCATGAAGCTGGGAACGGAAAGTCGAGAATGGCCGCTGATCAGTAAATGGCTGGCGAATATGAAGGAGAGGAAGGCTTATAAGACAGCGGTGGAGAAGACAGGCTACTCAATGTAGCTCCTTGGTGATAAAACTCATTGTGTGATATTCTCTTAGATGCTTTGTTTAGCGTTTCAGCGCAATCTGAGTTTAATTTTAGGGCTATTACATTTTCTGTATACTGAGGGCCTCTTGCACTATAGAATCTACAATATTAACACATTATTTTAGTCAATCCCTCCAAGTTTCTCATGTTAGCTTACCGGTCTGGGCGCAAGCTTCATCTCTCTATATATATGACAGTAGGACAAAATGAGCCGGCACCTGGAGAACCGCAGCAAGTGGAGGAAGCAAGATTACTCGCTTACTACAGGTACATAATAGTGACGATAACGCGATTTGAGCGCCACATTGACAGATTACGTGTAAACATATCTTAACGTATGATCATTTCAGTACAGGGAGTTGTGTAGATCTGAAGATCTTTTGTCCCTCGTCTTTAATATCCCAGTCTTAGTATTGAGACCGCCAGGAAAGCACAAAAGCCCACGAAAACCAAGGCTCAATACAGAATCGCGACACGATACTATCTGCGCTATAATCTACACGAGAGCAAATACACTTTAAGCTTCCTCTTTAGTCCTCCCCTATCAATTAAGTCTAAACCTATCAACCACTCACGTCCCTCCCTTACCGCTCAGATCCCTTGACTCTTATGTTTCCAACCCCGCTCCAGCGCCAAGAATTCACAAAGTCCCCCTCTAGCACTAGCGACCTGCCACAAAGAGCAATGCCGATGCGCAAGCGGCCCGTCCAAATGCAACCTCGCATCAACGGCATAACGTTTGCTTCTGGAAGGTCAAGTCGCAGTTATGCTTAATCTGAGGGATCGACTGTGATAGGCGGTATGGTGTAATATATCTCCTGCCGTGAAAGGTCACGGAGCAGAAATAGTGTGATGATATGGGGGTACTCGCCTTCCTAACGTAGCGTTCGGAGGGAGATCGTTGTTTTCTATATAAGTGCGTATTTCCATGATCGACGTGGAGGTTTAACCAGTCACTCCAGCTTCGTTCCTGATTGTTGATCACTGCCATCATGCGTGCTACTCTTGCTCTTGCGACCCTCGTCGGGTTGGCAAACGCCGCTGCTATTGATCCCCGCAAGGGAGCTGAGCCTCTTTACAAGATCGAGCTTGGCCCTGGCGATGTCCGCATGGTCACCGAGAAGCAAAAGTGGGCACTGCGAGCTGTAAGTACCATGCCCTCGCACAATCCCTCACCGAGTCTGACCATCACAGGAACACAAAACCTTCATCGACATCACCGACCTTGATGAGCCCGGCTTCAGCCTCCAGTTCCTCGCCAGCTTCCCCAGCGCCGTCGCACAGACATCTGCCGTCAATGCTCTCATTCCTAAGCTGAGCCAGACAAACATGCGCAGCACCCTGACAGAGTTCATCAAATTCCAGAACAGATACTACAAGTCTACCTACGGTCAGCAATCTGCTGAGTGGCTGTTTGGACAGATTCAGTCTATCATCACTGCCAGTGGCGCTAACAACGTCAAGGTTGAGAAGTTTACTCACTCTTTCAGACAGCCTAGCATTATTGCTACCATTACTGGAAAGAGCGCTGCTACTATCGTTGTTGGCGCTCATCAAGATTCTGTCAATTCTCGAAGCCCCGAAACTGGACGATCTCCCGGTGCTGGTGAGTAACCCTCCACTTTTTAATGAACATTGGCTAATGAGTACAGACGATGATGGATCTGGAACTGTCACCATCCTTGAGGCTTTCCGTGTCCTTCTGACCGACTCCCGCGTTTCCACCGGTCAGGCCCCCAACACCATTGAGTTCCACTGGTACGCCGGTGAAGAGGGCGGTCTTCTCGGAAGTGGTGCTATCTTCCAGAAGTACAAGCAGGACGGTCGCCAGGTCAAGGCCATGCTGAACCAGGATATGACTGGCTACGTCAAGCCTGGTACTACCGAGGTCGTTGGCATTCTCACCGACAATGTCGATGCTGGACTTACTACCTTCCTCAAGAAGGTTGTCGCTGCGGTAAGTTTTGGTCTCCAACTTTCAAAGGTTATTAAGCTAACGGAGTATAGTACTCCAAGCTTCCCACTGTTGACTCCAAGTGCGGATACGGGTGCTCTGACCATGCCTCCGCTACCCGCCAGGGTTTCCCCTCTGCGATGGCATTCGAGTCTACTTTCGACAACAGCAGCCCTTATATCCACGGCACTACTGATACTATTGACACCGTCAACTTTGCCCATGTTCTTGAGTTTTCCAAGATCTGCCTTGGCTTTGCTTACGAGCTGGGCTTTGCTACTACCCTCTAAGCGACAAATCAATAACATCACGATGCCAGGAATGGGAAGGTCAGGTTGGACACCGGTAGTTCAGTTTCGCGTAAATAGATTATGAATTGATACTGCACATATCATCAAACAAGATGTAGTCCACCTCCACAATCTAGACTTGTGAAGCTTGATAATTTTGAATGATGGTTCTGAATTTGTGTATGACACGGACAAGCATCGGACATCCGAGATCTGGAGCTGGCTTACACCAAGCCCGAATAGGAAACACTCGTCTAGTATGATTGGGTAAAGCTTGTGTGGATGCGGTGTAAGCACGCCTTTCCACCGCCAAAGTTGATCTCGGCAATCCACTGAATCCCGAATCTGGTGATTCCGTCATTCGGAAAAGCTTTGATTGTGCGCACCATACTCTGTAGTTATAAAAGATTCTCATCCACGACAAACATTTTCCTTGATATCCAATATCATTAGCTTCAGGAGAGAAAACACTTATCATCTTCAGAATGTCACCAATTCACAGCACGTCATTCACCATCCCAAAGGAATCAACTATTCTTGTCACTGGTGTAAATGGTTTCATTGGTTTCCATGTCGCCAATGAATTTCTACAGCGCGGATACCAAGTCCGAGGAACAGCTCGCAATACGTCCAAGGCGGCATGGATCAAAGACCTGTTCCATCAGCAATACGGCAAAGACAACTTCTCACTCTGGCCTGTTGCCGATTTGACTTCTCCTCATGCTTTTGACAAAGTGATAAAAGGTAAGCGAAATTGATGGAAAACCGCCTCGTTAACACGCACTGACATTTCTCAAAGGCGTTGCAGCGGTAGTCCACGTCGCTTCACCACTAGGCCTCGACTCCGGCACCGGTACAATGATACCCGATGCCATCGCTAGCGCCCTCAACGCCCTGAAAGCAGCCAACAGTGAACCAAGCGTAAAGCGCTTCGTATACACCAGCTCTTCAACCGCAGCAGTCTTTCCCGAGACAGGAATCCCGGTCATAGTGGATTCCGATACCTGGAACGACAAGGCACTTTCACTCCTGCAGAACTCAGCCTCGGCACCTGAATGGTATGTTGCGTATGCCGCTAGCAAGGTTGAGGCGGAGCGAGCCGTATGGGACTTTTATCACAATGATATGACGCGTCGTTCGGATCTGGTGGTCAATACAGGTAGGCAGTCGATATGAATCATTCAACGGTATCGCTGACAAATGAAGTGCTTCCTAGCACAAACTTTGGCAAAAGCCTGGACTGGAAGCATCAGGGATATCCGTCGACATCAGGATTCATCAGGACTTTATGGAGCGGCACTGCACTGGAATCACTGACCAATGCGTCACCTCGTAAGTTGCCCCAAGTTTCATTCTCACAAGTCAGAGCTGACATTCCGTTGTAGAATATTTTATCGATGTACAAGACGATGCAAAGCTTCACGTTGCGGCCACTCTATTGCCCGACGTACAAGGGGAAAGGATCTTCCCTTGGGCAGAAACATGGAATCTAGACCAAATCCTAGCCATTCTACGGGCGCAGAACCCCGACAGGACTTTTGTCAAAGACTTCCAAGCCATGCGCTATGTAGCAGATATCGAAAAGCCGAGGTTACG